GGCATTAGCAGAGGCTCTTTATAGAAATAAAACACGTGCCTCATTAAATATTTCTGGAAATTATCTTAATAGTGAAGGTGGAAAAATGTTAGCAGAGGCTCTTTATAGAAATAAAACACTTGCCTCTTTAAATATTTCTGGAAATTATCTTAATAGTGAAGGTGGAAAAACGTTAGCCGAGGCTCTTTACAAAAATACTACACTTATCTCTTTAAATCTCAAGAATAATCAACTTTCTCAAGGGGTAAAAGCACTAGCAGGAGCACTTTGCAATAACACTGGCCTTAAATATTTAGATCTTTCTGATAATTGTCTTGAAGGAATAAAGGCATTGGCAGAGTCTCTTTGTAATAATACTTGCCTTAAGTCTTTGGATCTTTCTCGTAACTTACTTAATTGTGAAGAAGTAAGGGCATTAGCAGAGTCTCTTAGTAAAAACTCATCTCTTATCTCTTTAAAGTTTAATTGCGACAAACTTTTTGATGATGAAATAAAAGCTTTAGTGAAAGCACTTGAAACAAACTCAACTTTAATCTCTTTAAATATATCTTTTAAATTTTTAGATTTTGATACTGTAAAAGCAATTGTTGAAGTCTTACGCAAGAATGTAACTTTAACTGACTTTATGTTCTATTGTAAAGAATTTTATTCATCACAAGAATGGGAATATGAACGTGTATTAAAAAGTATTAGAAATGATATTAGTGTCAAGATTTGGTATGTTCCCTGTAATCTCGGAATTGCCTGCAGAGGAATTGGTATGCGTACTGTGGTTGCGATACATATTCGTGTGGCGTGATTACAATTATAATATACAGATTCAACGAGCAAATTAGATAAGATGATGTTTCTTTAAAAAAATCAAAATTAAAAGGTCTTTAATACTGTAAAAATACTTGTAATAAAACGTGTAGAATATTTTGTTCTCGTAAGTGATGGTAATACTTATCCTATGAGCAAAAGGTACTGTATCAGCGCTGGTTGGCGACGTAAAGGCACGAGCTTTGGTGGCATGGGTCAATAACGGGTTTTTACGTGTATGTGTTTTGTAGGGCCATCTACCGTGCCAGTGGACTGTAAATGACTCGGGGCAGCAATTTACTAGTCGGGTAATGAAACGCAAATTCACAAAAATGATCATTTTATTAGAAGTTAATTCGATAATAGTTAGAAATTGGCATATTTAGGGATAGTAAAAATTTTGCAAGTAATTTCTTTGTTAAGACATTAAAGATAGTTTCATAGACAAAATTTTGAGATACATGAGATTTTTTAATTTTCACGTTACACGTGATCTTTCACTCTGACACTAAATTAAAAAGTTAGGTTTAAGAAAGAAAGTAATGAAAAAGAAAAAAATTGGTTGTGAATTCGTATAATATGTAGTAAAAAAATTAACCAAAAAATGAACGTACTATAAAACACGTTTCATTCTGTCGAGCCATAATGTATTATTTGTTATAGAATTCCGTACAACGTGCCTATGCGTGTCCAAGAACACGAACCTGTGATAGGAAGCCTAACTTTTTAAATTTTGAGAAATATTCTCAAATCCTGAAAATTTAAACTTGTAACTAGAAGTTGAATATATGAGCCCTGTTGGAACAGTTATTTTGTAGTTTGGGTATGCATTGATTCTATTTTAGGAGTCGACTCTAGAATCTATTTAAACTAACAAATGACCCACGGGGATTTCATATGAAAATTTATAGTTATTAACTTTTTATTGAAGGACATAACCGTGCCTGTGTATTTAGTGATGCTTTTATGCAACTAATAAATTTCAATTACTCAATCAAGTATAGATAATTTAATGAGTACTGCTAAATTAAAAACCAGTAATTATATTTATCAGTGGATTTTTTGAATCACCTAAAATTTTTATCATTGGATCTGAAATAATTTAACGTAACTTTGGCAACAATTTTGGGAATCACTATAAAAATGTATCCGACCTTGAATAACTTTGGGTTCACAGATCTGTTTCAGATAATTTTACTACTAAAATATTCGTCTCAGTGAGATGATTTTAACGAGGCTAAAATCATCAAATTCCAATCATAGGATCCCGAGATCGTAAAAGATTGGTGTTTTTTCCGGTACACTAATGGGTTTTATATATAAAAACACCTATCTTTTACGATCTCGGGATTCTGTGATTGGGATTTGATGATTTTAGGCTCGTTAGAATCGTTTCATTGAGACAAACATTTTGGTAGTAAAATTATCTGAAATATATCTTGAACCCAAAGTTATTCAAGGTCGGATACATTTTTATAGTGATTCCAGAAATAGCGGATATGATCAGACAAATTACAACTTGAAAAAAACCTCTAAACTATTGTACATTGTTTTTGCTCTTGTCTTGAATTAAAAATACCACCCTTTTTTTAAATTCAGAATTGCTTCAAGTGGTTGAGGTATTAGATCTGTCCAAGACATATTATAATTAGAGTTTCGTGTCGATTTAGCACATAGATTTTGCCTGGACATAGAACATAATAAATATGCAAGAAATTAGTATATAAAGGTTTTTCTGTTTATAAACTTTACTCTTATGCAAATTTAACCTTTTAAGATTTTTAATATTTATTTGGCACATTTAACGTTGATATAATTTAATAAAAACAATAAAAAAGTTGGGATGCCAAAAAACGTCTTTTAATGATTTTATGATTTTTTCATACATCACACCAGAAATCAGAAATCTAGAAAAGCAAATCTGTGATTGGTTAGGAATAATTTTTAGCCAATCACAGATTTGCATTTTTTTCTAGATTTCTGACTGATCACAGTATTTTAAAAAGCGCAGTAATAATGTTTTAAAACATCAATTATGATTGCCTAAAATAAAATAACCACATGTAATTAGGGTCGTGACTAGTCTTCCTATCGGGTCTGGTTAAAGCTTGAACTGACCCGACCCGAACCCGACACGAAATCAACCGGAAAATATATATGTGAATAAAAACACAAACCGATATTTTGTAATTTTAATTAACGCGTATGTTACATCAATATAATATTTAATGCTAGCCAAAATTAATATTAATACTGGCCAAAATTAGTCTTAAAGCTGGTCAAAATTAATCTTAATGCTAGCCAAAATTAATTTAATGCTGACCTGTGTTATGGTTGGGGAGAGCTACTTATCAACTGTAAACGTTATAAAGATATTTAGTCAAGGTTTATTACTAAATTCTCTGAGGAGTTTTGTACATAGATTTATTTAGGGAAATGGAGATTTACGTAGAGGTTATCTTTTAAAACTATAATTTCTTATTAGGCAGAGATCGTATTGTATAACTTTTTCTTTTTTTAAAAAATAAAATTTAAGGAATGATCTTTATTTAATAATTTTTTTATTTACAGGGATCTCGCAATATTAAATTTTTTTAAGAATAAATTTGTGTTATTTTTTCAGTTAAGCTTTTTTTTGCCTTCTGTTTCTTGTTCTTCCTTCCTTTCTTTTTATAACTTACACTTCACAATTTCTTTCATAAAGCCTTCAAAAAAAATGAAGTAATCTTAAAACATAAACATAAAGTAATATGAAGTAATGAAAAAATGAAATAATATGAAGTAATAAAGTAAAAATGAAGCAATTATAAAATAATAAAACAAAATAAATAAATATAAAGTAATAAAATGTAGTAATCATGCTCTAAACATTGTGATATTCTAGTATCTCATTATTTTCCTGCTTTCATTTTGAGCTCATACTATTTATGTGACTATAACATTTTTTACTTCTACTTGAAAATAAGCTCTAGCAAATCTTTTAATAATTTATATGTTGCGCCTAAAGTTGCAACTTCAGATTGAAGTTGAACTGTCTAAAATCAGATCTTTAGACTACATGAAGCAATAACTTTAGGCAATATGTAATTTCAAGCACAGTATTGTATCTATAATTTGTCTTGTGTCTGAAGTTGCCAACTATCTGAAGTTACTACTTTAGGCACTTGAAGTTAAACTATCACAAATTGTGTTATAAAAACAATAAGTAAATTATTAGTTAATTAATATATATTATATATATTATATATATATATATACTATGTATTATAGCAGATATCGATTTCTTTCTGCTGATCACTAAAACTAACATCAGAGCAAAAACTTTTTTATAAAACAAGTACTAAACTTAAGGAAACTTAGTAAAATATTAGTTCAAAATAGAAGTGTATAGTGTATAGTTTCATAAGATCTTTAAGGCAATAAGTAGCAGAAAACTAAGGTGAACAGTTCTAATGTTTTAGCTGAAAGTTTATCTTATAAAATATTAAAGTTAAAAAGAAGAAGGCTACAGAAGTTTGAAGTTCAGTAATAGAAGAAGAAACATACTATAGTATTTGTACTAGGACAAATACTTTTATACTTATTTACTCCTATTTAGTTTTTTGCACTCATATATTATCTTTGGTTCTTTAGACTTTTATTTTTTCTTATTTGTGATATTCAGTCTACTTCTAAAAAAGAATCAATAATACTATATTTAAATTAGTAAAGAATATATATTTACAAACAACTTAATAGTAAATAATAATATATATGATTAGATAAGCATAGTTAGTAACAAATTTAAATACTTTTTAGTTCTAGAATAAAAATTATTAATTTAGAGATATAAAGTATATTGTAGTATCACAAGTAATATAGCCTTCTAAATACACTACAAGTAATATAAAACATAGAAGAAGAACTTCTAATGATATCAAAGTGAAATATCATATCACTGTGGTAGTTTGTTTAAAGGAAGCATTTTTGATAATGTCAAGATATACTTTATTAAAAATTAATAGAGAACTTTATTAGAGAACTATGAAAAACTACAAAACTTATTGAGTACTAACTAAAGAATATTAAAACTATATACAAAACTGTTAGAACTTAACAGAACTACTTTACAAGAGAGAGAAAAAACTAGAGTTTATATTTCTTTTTTCTAAATGTCCTCAAATATAGTTAAATGTCATCAAATATAGCTAAATATCATCAATCATAGTTAAATTTCATCAAACATAGTTAAATGTCATCAAATATAGTTAAACATCATCAAACATCATCAAATATTATCAAATATAGATGTTACTCAAAATGTAAATCCTAAGATAACTCAAGAACTACATGTGCTACAGATATGATTTGTAGCTCATTTTGAAAGTCTAATTAAACTATATTAAATAGTGTAATCTAAATCTATTTTTAGCAATTAAGAATTTGAAAGAAACACTAATATATAAATCTAAATATCAAATATAATATAATAATAAATAATTAAAAAAATATGCTAAAGTTCATTTGATAACAGTAGTATCAGTACTTTATACAATTTTTACAAAAGTCTTAAATACTATTGAGATAATATTTGAGCAATATTTCTTTTTTTTTTAGTTTTTTGTTTTTGTTTTTTTTTATATATTTATCATCTTATATATATAGTATATATTGTAAATAATACAATTCTTTATATATAGTATTTTTCTTTTTCTTTTTCACTATACAGAAAGGTATTATTAGTTTAGTAATATTTAACTATATAAATAAGAAGTTATAATAAGCTAGGTAGACTTATATAGTAATACTGATGAGTAAAAAATAAATTAGTTTAATTTCTAGATTGAATTAAATCTACTTTATAGCAAGTTACAAATAGATACTAGTAGAGTAACTAGTTGAGTTTTAGTATAGATGTTTACATATATGTGTATTATCTTTTTTAGTTGTTAAATTAGGCTTATGAACCCTTGTAGTTTTATAATTATATTAAATAAATACTAAAATTTAGCTTGCTGAAAAAAAATTATAATAGATATCTATACCTTTAAGCATAAAACCAAATATAAATATAGATCAAGTAGCAGAATTTAATATTATTTTTGTTAAAAATTAAAAGTTTTTTTTTATTATATACAAATACTATCAGCTAAACTTTATTAGATTTTTTTTTATTTTTAATTCTGTATTTTATTAGATTTTAATTAAGAAATATAATACATATTATAAGAGTATAACTAGTAATATATATAATTTTAGATTATTTAATTTA